GCAGTACTGACAAAAAGTCTGGCTAGTTAGTGTGAAATGTATGCTGGGAAAATAGGTGTCCATTTTTCACATGGTATTTTATGGCGTCGGTAAGAAGAGGGTTAATCGCGGGCGACCATGCAACTAAATCCACTTTCATCACCCTCTCCAATTACTTATGTTTCAGTGTCGAATGCTCAGTCTTATTGAACTGAAATATGAACTTACTAGAATAAGAGTACAACCTTTAAAGTCATCCGGACTTCCTGGACATCCCACATACATCTTGGTTTTGTAGTAATCAAATAAAGTCAACGAGTCTGTGAGAACCCAGTACCTCAAATTTCAAGAGCAGCACACATGACGAGTAGAATCCCTTTTAAGACGGGGTCAATATAGCGCCCCCATAGTTAGGTCAAAGGCGTGTCAAATATCCCGACGTTCAAAATGGCAGAGCTGGACATTGGAAAGCATTGCTCCGTGAAAACATGCAAACAATTAGGTATTTTTATACGCTTTTCTTCATTTATAAACAATACCTTGATATCTCAGATTGTGTAAGAATACTAGTACTTTTTTGTATTTACATTCAAACGCACAGTTCATATTGACTGATTCTAGCTTGTACCACAGTCCCGCTGAGCTTGTACCAACTAACAGCCATTATTTATACACTTCCAGAAACCGTCGTCTGCTGCCAACCATCTCGTGTTTTTGTTGAAAGTTTAGGGTTACAAATTTGGAAGGGTAGATATCCACAGTAATGGATTTGTTTCTCATACAGTTTATTTAGAAACATGGAATTGTAGTGAAATGAAAATCGTCAACTTGATAATTTCTACAAGTGTTTTTGAATTTATTCGCTGGTGAGTTTAATAATTTGAGTCTGGGCATATGCAGATAAGGCACGTTCAGGATATAAACGGAGTGGAGTTAATTTTAGAACATGTGACCAATTTACACAAAACGAAGTTGAAAATGAAATAAACTTTGTTATAAATTGCTTAGCATACGGGATACATACATAATCGCCACATTGAAACTGGCAGATATACTAATAAAGATGTGACTGACAGAAAATGCCAAATCTGTCAAAACAGTGAAATTGAAAATGAGAAACACTTTTTCCTTCAATGCAGTCATTACACAGAATTAAGGAACACATTTTTTTAAAAATTCAACATTGTTCCTGATATCTGTTCAGCAGAACAGAATTTTATCAAATTATTAAAAAGTACACATCAGGAAACCATTATTGAACTTGGTCGACTTATCTATAGTTGTCTTCAAATGAGGAAAAAAAGTTTGAATAAATAAATTTACCAGCTGTCTCATATCAGAACCATCAAGAAAAAAATAAATAAATAACACTTTATTGTAATATTACCATCTATGCAATGTACTTATTTTACTTTTGTCTCAACTGAATTTTCTGTTTTTACTTTTTTATTATCATGATTTTATTCTTTATTGTAATTTTATCTATATCTCAACAGAGATTCGATAACAATAAAGTTATTATTATTATTACATAGACTGCATTTATTTAACAAAGTTTAAATTCATATAATTGTAGAGCCAGTAGTAAGAGTGATAAATTTATTTTCATTATGAACAAAGTTCACTTAAATTCCTGTAGCTCAATTTAATATGGATTCCATAGCGATAAAATACATCGTTCGTTTACACAAAATTTGTACACTCACTGCGCAATGACATTTCAAAATTAAACCCAGTTAATATTTCTTTTTCAGATTTCCTTCCGTTCACTTGCAGTGGTTGTTCTAAAATTTTTTGGTAAGTAAATAAAAATACTAAATTTTCTATGTTGTCTTTTGCTTTAGAAAGATGATTTGATGTACATGTAAATAGTTTCATATCTTAGCTGCATGTGATCTGAATTTAATGTTTGAAACAGTACACTAAAAGTTAGCTGTGGTTTTGCTGCGTTTTGGGTCCAGGAAGTTATTTTGCTTCGTCTGTCAATTATATACAAATCGTCAGTATACCCTTACGCCACAGTGCAGCCCTATGAGCAAAATGGTAAAGTGGAGAGAGTGAACACCGGCCTGTGAAAATGGCCAGAAAACAAAATAAATACCCTGATTTCGGCCAAACAAAATATCTCCAGGCGAAGATTACATACTATTGATAAATCGACTGTGTCTTGGTCTTGTTATGTATCCGTTTTTTAATACATTTTGAGCCCTTCTCATTAAAAAACACAAACCGACGACGAGATGGCAGCCATTTTGTATTTTTGTATTTTGTACTTTGCATATACATGCTAGTTGTATCACAGCAAATTTGTGTCAGTGGCGTGTAATATATGCTTTGAGGGCACCCTGATGTAGAGATTGATGAACTGTTTGTGTTGTTCATTTGTATTGCTGCCAGGACTATATTAAAAAAAACTTGTTGTTGGTTTTCAGTTTGGAGCATCGTTCCATGGATGTTCATCAATGTTCAAAGGTGGGTGTTGAATTATTTTGTTTGACTATAAAATAAATATTGTTTGTATTTTGTATATTTTCATACTGTTTGATGATAGCTGTCAAATCTAGACATAGTGGTGGTAATATGTATAGAGAGTGTTGGTTATAGTATACGTCAGGCAGACTTTGTATCACATTTGTGTGCCTTATTAGTCCCTGCATGTTTTGTTTTTAGTCTCATTGACCATTGACCAACTGGTGACCAGTTTTGTCCCTGAAAAAAAAAAAAATATCAACAGTTGGATATGTCATCCACTGTTCCTCTGGTACGCCTTAATAGGTGGTGGTCGTCGCCTTGCGCATGTGATGACATTAGTGTTGATAAACATTGATTTTTCCCAATCCAATGCGCTCTTCAAATGGAAATCACAAGTATGAAGTTTGACCTGGACGCTACTTGTACTGATTACCGCCGGTGACTCCTTCGGATACCTTCAAATCACCTAAAAAATACTTAATTAAAGCCTAGTAACATCTCAGTTTGTACCCATGTTGGTTTTATTTTCTTGCATCTTTTACCATTTTTTGGACATGCTTTGTATAGTTCAAAGTCGGTAGAAAGACATAATGGTATTCTTATACACATTTGTGCAATACATTATTTCTGGTGTATCGAATTGGTGTATCCTAGCTGTTTCAGAAAGGCAAGACATGGTTACTAAATATTGGTGGTGTGAAAATTCAGACTCAGTGTCTATGTCGTAGGCTGCTCCTCTAATATTATAATGCACTGTATTCATAATGGAGACTCAGCAAATTCATTTTAAATGGATCTTGTTTCTTCTGTGATACGATACAATCAAAGATTCACTTTATTGAGTTATACATGTATCTAAGTGTGACATCTATGTCTTCATTGTACAGTGCAATATTTCAGATGAAAAACCAGAATTCCAAGGACCAAAATCTTACAAATGCAGTTTTGAACATTGCGAATGCAAAGGAATTGTTGCCAATAATTTGTGAACACTGTCAAATGCAAGTCTGTCTGAGGTAGGTCATTATTAATTGCCTCATGTAAGGTTTTGGCTTCATGAACAGTAAACTGTAAATCGCTTTGATTTTGTAAGAGACCAAATTTTGGTGTCAGCAAAAGTGGTTAAATTTTCTAGCAGTGAAAATTATTCTTGAGTCTTTTTAATAATAAAGATTTGTCTTCAAAAATGTCGTAAAATCGGGTAAATTACTGTTGGTGAAAATAAACAAATTACAGTTTATATTAACGCATGTAAATACACTAACTGGTATCTTGCAAAACACCAAATGCTATTGTGTTTTATTTTCTCTCAGTCATCGGCATCAAGTGGATCACAGATGTAGTAAATATGAAGCCCCTACCGAAAAGATGACTAAGACTTCTGAACATGTTCGTCAAATTATTGGTAAGATTAATTCTAGAGAGCTTTCCATGTTTGAAATCACAAAATTAATGGTGAAATTACAAGTGAAAAATTCATTCAAAAATAAAACATATTATAAATAATTACATGTTGAATTTTGTAAATGCTACTGAAAAAAACTGCAAGAGGGAGCACTGCAATTCAGCGGCGCCACCAAGTAGGGGAGATAGGGTTCTCCTTACCAGAGAGTTTTTGATAATTCCAAGTTAAAATGGAGCATTATATGGCTTCCTTTGGCCAAAATTACTATCAGACAGGTCACAGTTGAAGACTGTGGCCACATGTGATCCCTGGTCAATCAGAATTTTATTGTTGCCAGAGGATCTGGTCCCCAGGGTGCGCTGCGCTGCGCCTCTGTTCCCCTGTTTAAAAAAATTCCTGGCATCAAGAGCTGAAATTGGAAGCTACCCAATTATCATTGATATTTACAGACAGATTATTAGGTACCATGACAGAATTTTAGCTCCTGAATGTAATAAATTGCAATCTGTGATGCAATCTGCCTACACCTATGAAAGCAAAATTATTGGCAGCACAAATGGATAAAAAAAACTGTAAATTGCATTCTGCTATATTTGTGGAGCCCTTTCATCTGGGAGCATTAAGTTGTTTGCCTGGTCTTCCTTTTAATAATAAAATCAACATCAAATTAATAGATTCATTGTTATTAATGAACAGATTTTAATATTTAACATCCTGGACTCAAACGTAGCAGAAGTGCTATAATGCAACAGAAATAGAATCCTGTCAAAGGCTGTAATCTCATTTATTAAAATAAGGTTTTCATGAGAATAACAAAAAGTATGCATTCAATGTACCCAAGAGTTTTGGAAACAATGTATATGCTTTGGAAGGGCAAGCTTGGCCTAAGGGCATTCCCAAACGCACAGTAAATCCTTCTCAGGAATGAAAATTTTACATGTTTAGTCAACTTCCTCTTTCTTGTGGCAAAAAATTATATTTATTCTTGTAGACATCAAAACGAAAAAGCCAGAATTCATGGCATACAAAAGATATGTAAAACATTTCCTGGAGATAGAGTACTTCATTGCTGTCAGACGGAATAGGTTGACTTCTCACAATAAGAAATGGGGAAATTTTATGAAAAATGTTCTCCTGTCCACTACACAATATGTAGATTATATGCACTCAGCAATACAGGGGTCATTGCATCCTCTGCTATGCTTCAGTTGATATGACCACAGAACTGCCATTGTGCATATTTTGTGGTATTGTTACGTTTGATGGAAAGGAGGTGACATGGGTGGTTCGTGTCTGGGGCTACGTCTTACCAAATACCTTACATCAACATTGGCAACAGCCCTAAAATGTATTAATTATATAGCTTTGATGACTACTTGTACTAGATTCAAAGAAAGATAAAAGTCCTTTGAAGAAAGGTCCCAGTGGTGTCAAATCTAAAAAGACTGCTGCTAAAGTTGCTCTTATGAAAATGAAAATGCATGCTGTAGGGGACAAAGGCTTGCCTCAGGTAAGTAAGTTTATGAACACAAAGAACAAATATTATAGCTACACTATATAATATGACTAATACCGAAGTTGTTCGGATAAGCACCCAGGGTTCTGAACATGGGAAAATTGCCAAAAAATAGGGGTGGGCGTATGCTAAGACATCCCCTGCAAAAAAACGAAAATTCGTGAAAATTGACAACACGCAGATCGAACTGCAGCAGGGAATAGAACGACAAATGAAAACATGCAACAGAAATAAATGAACAATATGCAACATTAGAAGTTTAACAAAAATAATTTATTCCTTACAATGTGACAAATAAACCAGAAATAATAAAAATCAACAGTTGTTTGTTGTATTTAAGGTTTCAATGTTTGTATATAAGATTTTACACAATGAAGCACCATCTTATCTATCAGAACTCATTACTATTCCAGTTCCAGTTAGGCAAACTCGTTCTTCGTCCACTATAATATTATAAGCAAGAGCATTACAAAAAGAGGGCATTTCCCAAAGCTCTTTGCCTTGCTCCCACTTTGTCTGCTTTCAAGTCTCAAAAAAACCCTCATCATTACCATATATCTTACCATAGTACAATGATGTGTTTTATCCAGTTTTTAATGTAATCTTATTTTTCTAAATAATTTATTTTTTATAACTATTTTTTAATGTAAAGTGCATTGAGATTATATGTTTTATGTAATGCGATATATATGAATTAAAAATAATAATAATTATAATAATCACTGCATGGCTTTAAGTGCCTTGGTTGGCTGGCTTCATCCACAGATTTTAATGAACTATGATTATGATTGTGTAGGTTGTAGTTTCCCTCTCAATTTGCATGATAATATAATCATATGTTTTACATGCCACATATATTGTAACATTTTTAGTTTGTCGCAGATTGTTTTAATTCCTCTTCAGAATTAATATATGATTTCAAATAAAATGTGGAGACTTGAATTTGATTTACATAATTTTTTTTTTCAGAATGAAAGACTATACTTTGAAATATTTTTGCCACTTGGCCACAGTGTACGTAGTCAATCCATGTTTTTCTCCAAAGTATGGACTATTGGTAAAACTATTGATAAGATAGCGGAACTAGCAAAATTGAAAAATAACAACAATATAGTTACTGCACAGGTGAGCTCAATACTACTAGTATATCGATATATACCGTAAGGCCAGACTTTTTTAGTCCCCGTTCGGACGAAGTCCAAAAACGGGGACTTATAACTCGGTCTCCGTCCGTGCGTCTGTGCGTCTGTCCAGAGTCATATCTCAGAATCCCTTGGACCGATTCCGTTTATTCTTTGCATGTGCCTAGTATTTTATGTGGGACATATGCACATGCAGTGGTTTAGCGATTCAATTCAAAATGGCCGACTGGCAGCCATCTTGTTTTTTGAAAATGTTGTATTTTGGACATGCTTTGTCAGTTTTCATTCAAACTTAGTACATAGATTATACATGTTAGGATACATGTTCATGACGATTTATTTCACAATTGGATCAAAGATGACCGACTGGCAGCCATCTTGTTTTTTGAAAATGTTGTATTTTGGACATGCTTTGTCAGTTTTCATTCAAATTTAGTACATGGATCATACATGTTAGGATACATGTCCCCGACCATCCGTGAGTTCCTGAGTCCGTCCGTGTGTCAGTCCGTCCCTGCATCACTCTGTCCAGAGTCATATTTCAGAATCCTGTGCACCGATTCTGTTCATTCTTTGCATGTGCCTAGTACCTTATGTGGGACATATGCACATGCAGTAGTTTAGGTGATTTGATTCAAAATGGCCGACTGGCAGCCATCTTGTTTTTTGAAAATGTTGTATTTTGGACACGTCAGTTGTCATTCAAACTTGGTACATAGATTATACATGTTAGGATACATGTCCATGACGATTTATTTCGCAATTGGATCAAAGATGGTTGACTGGCAGGCATCTTGTTTTTTTGTTTTTTTTATGCGGTATCTTGGACGTGCTCTGTCAGTTTTCATTCAAATTTGGCACATACATGTAATTTATACATTTTAGGATGCATGTCCATGACAATTTGTTTCAAAATCTGGTCAAGGATGGCCGATTGACAGCCATCTGACTTTTTGGCCTTACTGCTATATTTCCACAATTTATGTACCATTTTCATTCATATTTGGCACATACAATCATACATATCAGTGTGTTTCATAATCAGATTAAAGATGGCCGAATAATGGCTGTTTTTTATTTTTGACCATATTACTACTACAAGGAACACATGTTTTGATGTAAATAAACTATCTGTTGTATACGCCACTTGGAACTTCAAGTTTCAAGGACACGCTCGCGACAACCCCTCCGCTTTAATATGACAAGCACAAAGAGAACTTTTAAAAATTTAACGGGGACTGTGTCATTTTTTATTTTTTGTTTCTCAAGTTTTTATAAGGCAAATTTTTTGAGGAGGGCGAAAAAAAAAAAAAATTAATTCTTTTTTTTTCTATTAGATTTGTGTGATTCTCAAAGAATTGTGAGTGAGATCATTTATCGGAGAGAAGAAATGAAATAAAATAAAATTTTATTTCATGTATAATCTTGTTTCTCATCTGCGCAAGACTTCGGTACTTTGATTATGATACTCCCACGAAAATGCAACTTGGATTTGTTATGCAGCGGGCGAAAAAAAAATTAAGATAAAAATAATCTTTTTTTGTACTTAGAATTCGGCAGGCGTGAGAAATTACACTGAAATAAAATTTTATTTTTATTTAATTTTCGGCCCCTGTTCATTCGGCGGGTTTGCGAAACAAGGGATAATAAAAGTCTGGCCTAATGTGAATGTGGGTACATAGCGTTTTGTGTTCATTCAACACATATCATTAAGAATTCAATAGTGCAATCAATAATACATACCAAGTAACCAGAAATAGACAACACACTTGAATTGGGTGTTATAGAAGTGATTGTGGAGCAAAAAATTAAAACTTTCTTTTTCAAAATGTTTTTTTTTTAAAACTTCCATGTTCTTTGTTACTAATTTGTTTATACATTGCTGAACTATCGTAGCAGTGATTGGTAATTTCTGTATTATCACAACAATGACTTGTACCGGTAATTGTTGACATCGCTAATTACCCTTATCCATAATAAATGACGGAAGTTGCCAGCTTTGGAAACCCATTAGCAAGCTGCCGGAACCTGACAGGAAACCCCAGAGTATAAAAAAGATTACTTGCTTTACATTGCCCAACGTTCTCCAGAATGTTAGATCTCATCCAGTATACATTTTTGACTCCCATGTGCGAAGCACAAAATGGGAGTCTTTGCGGTTAGTGTGTCTGTATGTGTATGTGTATGTGTGTGTGTATGTGTGTCCGTCTGTTCCACTGATATCTCAAGAACCATACATCAGTTTTTTATGAAACTTGGTGCATAGATGCTCTGGGCTAATGCGCAGATTTGATTAGTTTTTGGTAAAATTTCATGCATATTAATTACCTAATTTGCATGATAATAAGCTAATTTTTAGCTGTTCCATGATTGTTCCATTGATATCTAAAGAACCACTTATTGGATTTTGATGAAACTTGGTACATAGATGCTCTGAACTAATGCTTGGTTTTGATTAGTTTTTGGTAAAAATTACCTACTAGTAATTACTGATTACCTAATTTGCATAATGATTCGTCAATTTTAGTACTAATCATCACATTTCAATGAAACTTGGTACATAGATGTCATAGAACACTGCACAGACCTGGTAGTTTTTAGGGTAATGTCAGTGCATATTAATTACTAATTTGCATAATTAATTAATTTTCAGCTTTTAATGTTTCAAGTAGTAAGCATTACATTTTAATAAAACTTGGTACATAGATACTCAAGGACTATGCAGGGATTGATTGTTTTGGGATAAATATTTGTGCATATTAATTACTAATTTGCATAATTAGTTAATTTTCAGCTTTTCCCACAGATATCTCAAGTACTAATTATCACATTGCAATGAAACTTGGTACATAGATCCTTTAGGACTATCCAGAGACCTGATTAGCTTTAGGGTAATTAATTGTGTATATTAATTACCTAATTTGCATAATTAATTAATTTTCAGCTTTTAATGTTTCAAGTAGTAAGCATTACATTTTAATAAAACTTGGTACATAGATACTCAAGGACTATGCAGGGATTGATTGTTTTGGGATAAATATTTGTGCATATTAATTACCTAATTTGCATAATTAGTTAATTTTCAGCTTTTCCCACAGATATCTCAAGTACTAATTATCACATTGCAATGAAACTTGGTACATAGATCCTTTAGGACTATCCAGAGACCTGATTAGCTTTAGGGTAATTAATTGTGTATATTAATTACCTAATTTGCATAATTAATTAATTTTCAGCTTTCACACTGATTTCTCAAGTACTTAATCATCACATTTCAATGAAACTTTGTACATGGATGCTGTAGGACAATAGACAGACCTGGATTAAAATCTGTACATATTAATTACTAATTTACATAATTAACCATTTTTAAGCTATTACACTGATATCTAAAATACTAATTATTCCATTTCAATGAAACTTAGTGCAAAGATGCTCTAGGACAATGTACAAACCTGATTAGTTTGGGGTTAAAATCTGTTCATATTAATTCCCTAATTAGCATAATAATTTATAATTTTTTTTGGTTCCAATCACATTTCAATAAAACTTGGTACATAGATGGTCTGTTACATTGCGCAGACCTCGTTAGTTTTCCATTAAAATCTGTTCATATTAATTTTTTGATTTGCATTATTAGTTTTCGGCTTTTCCATCACTATCACTATCTCTGACAAGTAATTTTGAATTATATTTAATGTGTCTCCAATACTCTTGAGCAGCACATAGGAGTTCTTTCTAAGCTTTCTTGATTGTACATATTTGTGGATGATAATTATAATACATTTGATTGTTTATATTTGATTTATATATCTTGTTACTTTAACATGATACACTGACCTGACCTGTTCCCAAATTAGATTACTTGTAATTACTCCAACATCTAAAATAATTAGCTTATTACAACAGGTCAACACAAAGTTGTTTTTTTCCACAAAAAAAAAATCACAATGGGTTCTATGGCCGTAAAAACAAATATATGTTCTTATCTGCTCACCAGAGGGCAGCCTGCCACTACACATTGCTCATAAATTAGTAAGTCAGAAAGAGGGGGGGGGCATAAAGTTTGTTTACCAAGATGATAGTGTGTGACAGGTTTTTTTACAGTACCTATATAATTTCAAATTACTAAGCTTCACCTAACTATTAAAGTCTATTGTTGCCCAAACCTATTATTGGTCAATGTCAATATAAAAAAAATGCAGTGTATATCACTTACAGGGATTTTTTTAAACAAGGGAACAAGGGCGCAGCGCCCTCATGCCAGGGCCATGCGCCTCCTTACCCTGGGGAGCAGATCCGCTGGCAACCATAAAATTCTGATTGACCAGGAATCACGTGTGTCCACAGTCTTCAACTGCATGTGACCTGTCTGATAGTAATTTTGGCCCCAAGGAAGCCATAGAATGCTCCATTTTAACTTAGAATTATCAAAAACTCCACACCCCAGTAGGGAGAACCCTATCTCCCCCACTTGGTGGCGCCGCCGCTAAATTGCAGTGCTCCCTCTTGCAGTTTTTTTCTAGAAAAACCCTTGTCACACACAATTGAAGTAATTGAATTGAGACCTTGAACATCATGTTTCCAAAGCCAAAAAAAAGTTTTTCATTGGTTCATCAAAGCTCACATGATTTGACCACTGCCACTGATTGACTATTTTATTTGGTGGACAAGATTATGCTGCCTGATAGATGATATTTATTTGTTTAGCGCCCTCTATAGACAGATAATGCCTGACATCAATACTTGCATGATTTGACCACGGCCTCTGATAGGCTATTTGCTAGAGGAAGATTTTAATTGAGTTGCCTGATAGCAATATTTACCTATTTATCGCCCTCTATAGATAGTTAATGGCTTACATCAATACATGTAAAGAGTTACCATTTTATAACTCACTTCAGTCTTAATAACTAGTATTCATAATATCGTCAAAATATTTACTTTCAGAAACTACGTATATTTGATGAGAACGGTTGTATTATATTACCTTTAGAGCAGTCATTGGATAGGCTGATAGAAAGTGAGGTGTTTCACAGTGGAGGCTCTGTTATAATAGAGTATGTAGATGACAGTTGTGCTAAGTTGGAAAATATTGAGAGTTATTCATCACGATAACCACACAGTTTAATATATAAGGTAAGATTAAAATCAATTATACTTATGAGAAAATTTGTGCTTATTTATCTACTTGATCAGTTTTGAGAAATCAAAAGTACTTATTATTTGAACATTGTTTATCTGCCTATCCAAACATCTTTCTATAGTTCCATTTCATTTTTCCACACGTGATGTGATCCATTTGCTGACTGCGGGCTATTCAGACAATTTTCATCCAGACCCAGGAATTTGGATTTAGTTAAACTTACCATATTGTATGTCATATTTTCTCCATGGTTATATATATTTTATTATAGCAAATGATCGATCTACTTCTAGTTTGATATTTGTAGTTATTGAGCATGCAATTGCTTCACAGGGTACATATGGTTGTAATTATTGCAGCTGGCAAATGTTTTAGAATTAAGCTCTTGAATACTGTAAACTACTGATGGATTTGGCAATCTGTCTAGAATAGAATAAAATAAAGTTAAATTGAAATAAAATGTCAGTGTTTGCTAAGAATAAAATAAACACAATGCAATTACTGGGCACAGTCCCTCTATCATACTGATAGAGAGACTGTGTACTGAGATTACGATAAACTAAATAAAATAAAACATTGATTCAATAAAATAGAAAACGATGATATTGAAAAATAAGGAAGCTTCAATAAATTCATCAGGATATTTTTAATGTATTTACTTTTATTTAATGTACAAAACTAAATGTTGGCAGCTGTTTTTCAAAGTTTATAATCGCAACAACGTTTGCTCCAGGCATTCTTTTTCCTATTTTGAATGATAGTGTTGTTGAGGTTTGACTGACAGTAGTTGTGTATGGCTTCCTCTGACTGACTTTATTAGTCTAAGTATAGAATATCCCCACCTGCAGGATATTCTCTTTAGCTTCTTTATTTAACCCTTACGTGGTCAAGTCAATGTAAAAAGTACATGTGGCTGACAAGATTAGAATTAATCTTTTTTTATACCTGCCTATAGAGTCTGTGCATGAAGAGAACTTCAATGCTCAGCTTAAATGGAATATTATATAATATTTCTTGTAGTATGCAGCACTAATTGCCTCATTACTGCTCTAGCTTTAATTTCCTGTAAACTTGGAATAATTGTCTGTTAATATATTCTGTCACACTCCATTCTGTGATATTGCAGCTGGTCACTGAATTACTGTTCAGTAATTAGTAATATGTCAAATTTAATTGGTTATATTGCTTCATATAGAATTTCATGTTCAGTATAAATTTAATTAGATTTACTGATAGTTACTGTACTCTCATGAGTATGTTGGGACGATTTTACTGCTAATTTTTGGGCCTTGACCTGGTAAAATCTTAGGTGGTAGATATTTTTTTCTGCAGCCCCATCACAGGTTGTGTGTTATCCCTCTAAAGAACTTGATTTCAAGAAAAAGGGATGACAGGGTGATTTTGTATATATATCCTGAGTCAAAATGAAATTCAAGTTCCGTCAGCTTATTGGCTGCTGGGGAGGTCGGTCTTTAAAAAAGTATGTGATTGTATACATGTATGTAACTTAAGGCACAAACAAAATTGCTTTGGTTCCTCATTTCCTTAATTTTTACACTTATTTTGTTTATAAAATGTGAATTTCATTTTACCAAATTACAAATTGTATAACTAGTAATGTTTTTCAAGAACACTATATAAAAATTTCTGTTGCATCAAGGACGTGCCAGTGAATTAGCACAACTTGTTGCGTCGTACTAATTCTTTGTGCGTCAGTGACATGTCATATCAGCTAAGAGGGTACACTGTTTCATATTCCAGTTGTTACTATAGATTCTGTTGCTAAGCAACCAAAGTCATTAGATGTAAATAAGGCTGCTGGTTTAGATGGGCTGCAGGCAAAGCTTTTAACTATTTACTAGTGTTCCAAATTAATTTATTACCTTGAAAATTTCGCTGCTTGTGGAAATATACAAGAGTTTGAGTGATCCCAGTGATTCTCGTCATGTCTGTACCAATTTTATCTATAGTATTAAACGCTATTTTCATTGTCTACTTACAAAGTAATATTTATCTTTATGGTAAATGATCTTAATCAAGTTTGTGCCTTCCTTTTGTGCCAGTCAGCTTGAATCTCAGTATGGACAACAAGGAACTGATTGGTGTAATTTTCCTGGACTTTAAATACGAAAAACATTCAAGCTTGTAAACTATACTCACCTTACTTCCATTTGTACCCCATCACTACAAACTTTCGTGGGCTCCATGGTGGCTAATTTAGAACTGCTCACTTGGATGCTAATATTTTCCCAGGCTGTCATTTTTTTCTGGTACCTGTGGGCGATTTTCTTCAAACTGAGAATTTTTAGACAGTTAATTATGCCCCTTGAGTTTAGTTGATACTCAAATATAGAATAGTAGTAAAGCAAGCTAGTACGTGCGTGCGTGCATGCGTCCAGACCCGTATTTTAGAAATGCCTGGACCAATCACAATCAAACTTCACACATGCATCATACATGATATTATACATATGCACGTAAATTTGTTTCATGATCTGATTCAAGATGGCCGAATGGCGGCCATTTTTGTGCTAAAAATCATCAAAATCAAGCATTTCCTGGCTGTTTACAGATGGATTTTGTTCAAACCTTGTACATACGTTGGACATTATAGGACCTTGATGCACATCATTTTTTTTTACGATCTGATTCAAGATGGCCGAATGGCGGCCATTTTTGTGCTAACAAATCCTAAAATTCAAGCATTTCTTGGTTGTTTACAGATGGATTTTGTTCAAACTTGGTATGTACATTAGACATTATAGTACCTTGATGCAAATAATTTTGTTTTTCAGATAAGATTCAAATTGGCTGACTGGCGGCCATTTTGTTTTCATGAATGTGGTTCTCGTGCCATATCTCTGACTTGCTTTCACTGATTATGTTAAAATTTTAAATATTCATTATACATCATGCCATAGATAGACAGAGACATTGGTTTGACGATCCTATTCAAAATGGCCAAATGGTGGCCATTTTTGTGCTAAAAAATCATCAAATATCAAGCATTTCTGGATGAATTTCGTTCAAACTTGGTACATACATTAGACATTACAGGTTCCGGATGCACATCATTTATTTTTCAGATTGGATTCAAAATGGCTGTCTGGCGGCCATTTTGTTTTAATGAATGGGCTTCTAGACCCATATTTCCGACTTGTTTTGACTGATTATGTTCAAATTTTAAATATTCATTATACATAATGTCATAGATAAACAGATATATTGGTTTGACGATCCTATTCAAAATGACCGAATGGTGGTCATTTTTGTGCTAAAAAATCATCGAATATCAAGCATTTCTGACATTTATGGATGGATTTCGTTCAAACTTGGTACATACATTAGACATTACGGGTTCCTGATGCACGTCATTTTATTTTTCAGATTGGATTAATTCTAGAGCCATACACACATGTATCTCTTAAATGCTTTGACTGATTATATTCAAATTTTATATATTCATTATACATCATGTTATATATACATGTATTCAAAATGGCTGATTTTGACTGCTGTTCCAGAGCAATATCTCTCAATATGGACAAGTACTTGTTTGACGATCAGATACAAATGTCAATCATTTTAATGTTAAAAAATCATATTCCTGACATGGTTATATTTCAGCTATATTATTATAAACAAAACTATATATCTTAAATTTGATAACTAACGGGGACTGTGCCATGCATGGCTTGTTTCCTATATTTTACATTCAACTCGTCTAAATTCCATACAAAACACCTAAAAAGTATTTTCAGCGAAAATTAATTTCAGCTAAAATAAAGTATTTTACAGTAGCCTTTTTAACTTACTTAATTAAAATTACTGGCTCTTTCTAGTAGTATACATGTCACCTGACTAGTTATGCTCAATGCACACATACATATTAACATACTGAACGGCAATCTTCTGAAGAATTTCATTTGTACTAGCAGCTGGCAACATCACATATTGATTGTCGGAATTGTGTGCTTGCTGTACTGCTTCACCTCTGGTCAGAATTAATGCAGCTCAAAGGTGAATTTGTTTATGAACTCATGATCAATAAAATATTGTGTGATTTGATGTACATATATTATTCCATACCACTGAATCATCTAGTGTCATTGATCATCCAATACTACATATTCTTGGTGAAACAGATGGCAGATCTAGTTAGGTACATTCCACTACTATAATCCTGCATGTATTACTTATACAGATGGATTTCTAGTTAAGAAAATAATAAAATCAACCAAAAAATTTCCATCTGGGTCTAATATGTCCTAATACATTACCTTTTATTGAATTAGATAATACCATTTTATTTTTAGTCCCTGTTCGAACACAGCTTGAAAATGCGAACATGTGTCTGTCAGTCAGTCTGTCTGTCAGGACATGTATCTAAGGCCAAGGCATGGCTGATCACATTCAAACTTCACACTTGGTTCATACATTGGATATTATGAGTACCGTGGGTACAATTGATTCACATCATTTTGTTTTTTAGATCAGATTCAATATAGCCAACCAGTGGTCATTTTGTGATTCCATCCTGTAGTTCTTGCCTGATCATGTTCAAGTATATGTATCATATATGATGTCACACATACCACATTAAGATTTGACAATCAGATTCATTTTGATGTTACAAATGCATCAAAGTCAAGCATATTTGCCATTAGGGACCCAGATCTTGCTTGCCCTACTTTGTACATACATATAACTGGTTCATAATGTTTTTTTCAGGTCAGATTTGAAATCGATAGCCAATAAAAATGCTGTTCTAGCACCATGTCTCTGACATGCATTTACTGATCGCAATCAAACTTTACAACTAGACATTATATCATTTTGTTTCATATTCTGATTCAAAACGGCAGGCCCATTTTAGTTTTGTTTACTATTGAACCAACAGGGACTATGTCATCTCATGATGTAACTTGTTGCATGATACAATTGGATCATTGGGTAAAACCGATTTTCTCATTCAGATTCTAAATCCACATTATAAATAATATCAAATCACACCTGTAATGCTATACTTTTAACCCTCTGTTGGAAAACTCATTTGAACATATGAATCAGGTGTTACACAGTGCTATTTTGGAACCCTGAATTCTTTGCTAAACACTGAGATAAAAGATGTGCACAGGAGGACACCCTCTAATTACACCATGATGTCCAAAATGGCAGGGAATAAACAAACCATTGTGAACAAGTGAGAGGATAAGTCATTGGGAAAAATGAGATTCAATTTGAACAGACAGACAAATTTTTTACTCAAGTTTTTACTCAACAAATTTTGGCTATTTTTGTCCGAATCTTTTGAAGAAAAGTACAGACTATAAACATGACTACTGTATTTTGTGAATTTTCAATGAAAAGATGAAACTGGTGGTGAAAACAGTCATAAATATGCATTTCACTATTTTAATCTTTAATCTTCATATAATTAATCACATTACCTAGTATTTAGTGATGTAATTTGATACACACTCTATTAATTCTATCCAAGTGCATACTTTGCAGTATCCATACATCTTCCCTATCCAACTGTTTGATGTATGAAGTCCTGGGCATTATAGTGACAATTAATGAAAAAATGTTCATCATGCATTTCAGATAATACTACAACATTTATGGTACACTGTAAATTTTGGAGGTATTTGTATATAATCCTCTGATATTTTCTATTAGTTTTATGTCAGGTTAGAGAAGATTTTTGTTAATACGAGATAAAGGAAGGAATTGTAACAAGATTTCTGAACTAAAGAGGATACAGACAGAGTGATGTAATATATTAACTGGAATGAAACTGGCTGATACAAAAATGCAAACTATTTATTTGTATGCATGTTTTGGTTATAGTAACTGTTTTATTGCATGCAAAGCCTATGTATCGAACTATATTATTTTTGTTGCCATGCAGATATAAACCACAAACATGTATTATTATTGAGGTTGTAAACTGCACACTTGTTTTCAAATTGAGATTGTAAACATCATACCTGTATTCATGTGGAGATTGTACACATCGCACCTGTATTCACATGGAGATTGTAAACGTCACACCTGTATTCATGTGAAGATTGTAAACATCACACCTGTATTCACATGGAGATTGTAATCGTCACACCTGTATTCATGTGAAGATTGTAAACATCACACCTGCATTTGTGTGAAGATTGTAAACATCATACCTGTATTCATGTGGAGATTGTACACATCACACCTGTATTCACATTGAGATTGTAAACGTCACACCTGTATTCATATGAAGATTGTAAACATCACACCTGTATTCACATGGAGATTGTAAACATCACACCTGTATTCATGTGAAGATTGTAAACATCACACCTGCATTCATGTGAAGATTGTAAACATCACACCTGTATTCATGTGGATATTGTAAACATCGCACCTATATTCATGTGGGGACTGTAAACATCATATCTGTGTTCATGTGAAGATTGTAAACATCACACCTGTATTCATGTGAAAATTGTAAACATCACACCTGCATTCATGTGGAAATTGTGAACATCATACTTGTATTTACATGGAGATTGTAACTTGCACACTTGTATTCAAATTTAGATTGTAAATATTGCACCTGCATTGACGTGAAGATTGTAAACATCACTGTTGTATTTAAATGAACATCATACTTGTATTTATTGAGAGTGTAAACCACACACCTGTATTCATGTTAAAATTGTAAACATCACAACTGTATGCATTTGCAGATTATAACTATCATACCTGTATTTATGGGAAAATTGTAAACATCACAACTGTATTTATTTAAGTTTTTAAATATCAACTATATTCAAATACAGATTTTGAAGATAAGACTTGTATTCAAATTATGTTTGTAAACATCACACCTGTATTTATGTGGAGATTGTAAACATCATACCTGTATTCATGAGAAGATTGTAAACGTCACACCTGTATTCATGTGGGGATTGTAAACATCGTATCTGTATTTATGTGGGGATTGTAAACATCATACCTGTATTCATGTGGAGATTGTAAACATCATTCTTGTATTCATGTGGAGATTGTTAACATCACACATGTATTCAAATGGAGATTTAAAAAAATCACACTTGTATCTATATGGAGATTTTGAACATCACACTTGGAGAAACAACAGAGCCTTGTAAATCTTGTGTTTTTCTGTAGATTGTCAATTTATACTTTGCAATTTGAGCAAGCCATAATCTTTGAAATTGAAGTGGCTTGAGACCACTTTCTCAACTATTGAAGAAGATGCCCATAGGCTGAGTTCAAACTCATACATTAAAGAAGTGCGGATTTGTCTGTTGATGCAATTATATACATATTTTAATGATATCATGAGCTGTCAATGCTACATTGTAGGTATTCAGTTATTAATGAGCAAAGCATACAATATTACTGCACCATACTTAATTGTGCAGTTGGATATTTTAGTTTTTTTCTTCCTAGTCTATTATTGACTGGCATTTGATATATTCTAGTCCAAAAACAGATATGCACTCATAAAACAAAGTCATTCAATGCTATATAGCACTTCAGTTATGACTACCAGTAGTTAAACTTTAAATTTATCTTCTATGATAAAGTGAAGATATCAAAACTAAATGCTTACCTTAATAAATAATAGAAATTAATGTTATGCCATTTAAGATAATAGAGTAGACCCTTCAGATTTACAGATTTTTATTATGATGGAAAATATAAATGCAGTATTTGCTCTTTTAATGTGGTAATGTATTTAAATTATTTGTATTTAAATTATTAGCATCACATCTCTAAATAGAAGTTCTCATAAACTAAAGATTGCATTTATTATATGCTGGTTCATTAATAAAAATATGACTTACTATGTATTTTGTCCTTTACATTCATGTGTTACCCCCTGATACTAATAGAACAAAAACCCACAGACTGACTGAACCACTGACTCAAGTCAGTCTTTCAAGTGCAGCAGCAGCATTTCAACTGTCTGAACTACTAGAAAACACGATAAAAACAGCCTCTTAGCATATTCATAATTGAGTATATTATTTGTTTTCAGAAAAAGAAATATTTTAAAAGCGACTCTGTTGCACGTCACACAGGATAGACAGACAGACATGAAAAACATGTTTTTAGCTCTGCTGTTGACTTTGTCGAGTGGAGCTTATCATATGAGTGGTTGTTCGTCGTCTTCGTCCGTGTCAATGTTTTACTTTTTCGACTTCTTCTTGAAAACTACAAGCCTGAATGCTTTGATACTTGGTGTATATGTACCTTGGTTAGACCGCTCTCAGATTTGTTCAATTCATGATGATATCTTTAATTCTCTAATTTTAGTGAATATTTTTGTCATTTTTGGTAAAAAGTGATATTTTTGACTTCTTGTTAAAAACCGTAAGTCCAATTGCTTTGATATTACATATATAGGTACTAAATGTGGACCTCTCCCAGATTTGTACATTTAATAATCATATCTTCAATTCTCTAATTTTGGAGAATATTTTTGTCATTGTTGGTAAAAAATGATATTTTCGACTTCTTGTTAAAAACCGCAAGTCCAATTGCTTTGATATTGCATATATAGGTACTACATGTGGACCTCTTTCAGATTTGTTAATTCCATGGTGATATCTTCAATTATCTAATTTTAATGATTATTTTTGTCATTTTTGGTGAAAAGTGATATTTTTGAATTCTTGTTGAAAACAGCAAGTCCCATTGCTTTGATACTATACATATTGTTCATTTTCTAATGATATCTTCTGTTCTTTTATTGAAATGTGCATTGCTAACAGCGGAGCTATCTCTGCCGACAGGCTGCTTGTTAAATAGCTTGAAGCCTGGTGATTCTAAAAATGTATATTTTGATGGGTCTTTTGTAACCATTTATAGTCATAATCAGTCATTTATAGTCACAAGATGAAAACTTGTACACAAATAATACTCTTGCTATGCCTAAGGACTGACAAATAGTATGAAGTCCCAAGGAGTCTTAATGTAATACTGCCATACCTATCTATTCTAGCTGCTCAAGAAAAATACCACAGACTAAATATAAATACCCTCTAAATAAAGAATGTCAAATTTAATAAGACCTAGTTGCAGACACCAATTAACTTTCTACCTGGAAGTGTGGTACCATGCTGAGTTGTGATATCACCACATTGGGTGGGCATCCAACCACAGTGACACTTGAATCCAGGTCATCTAAAAAGTTATAATTAATTCCTAAATTAATGGTTCAAAATGTGATACATGGCAAATAATTTATTGATATTTGACAGCACAATGAACTGACAGATGCATCTTTTATGTAGTAGATATGTAAACTATATTGTGATGTCATGTCTCTCTATACTCAGTACAGGGAAAGAAAGTGAAATAAAATCAGTCATTGACTTTATGTTCTTAAAATATCTCTAAACTTATTTAACTCATCAGGAATATAATGTAGAGATGCATTCCAGTAGATATTATGCTTGATTGTAACTTCACTGCAAACCGTTTTTATTGGGAGGTGTTGCTTTTACAGGGAGGGTAATGCTGCCTATCATTCTGGAAGAATAATTTTAGTTTCATTTTACCACATGTAAAGTTATTTTGAGGATTGGTGGACCAAGGATTTTTCTGAACTCTCACAAAATTGTCATAAATCATAAATACTGTATTTTCTGTAATAAATTAGCCAGAATTTTGATAAACAAATGAAACCCTATTCAATGGCCTTGGTTGCCTGGAAAGGAGAGACAATTGGCACCACGTACCTCATCCCAACAAAAATGCTCTTCCCCATACCATAATAGTGTAGTGATCCTTGGGCAATTCTAGATGGGTCATATCTGTTTTTATCATCGTATTTTATTTCATTTTGTGCCTCTATATAATTTTCATCTGTTCCTGTCAGTTATAAATAAATATAGGTTTATACAGGTTTCACCTTAATGGGATAAATTTATCTGAAAGCTTTTTCAATGTCATATCATATTGCTTGATTGTTTATATGAATATCAATTGCCTGCTCTTGTTTGACATTACAATTTTCATATTGTGGGAATTTAATTCTTGTCTCAAGAAATCCATTGTTATATAAAATGTTGTCTCTGATCCCTGATGCCTAACAATCTTAAATATTACTATTACTGTTACCAGTAAATGTCAGCCTTTTAAGTGAACCCCTAATATTATCTGAAATATATCTCCCAAACATTGGCGGAAACTGAATGCTAAACCTCCCTAACCATATTTTTCAGGAAATCAATCAAGGAAATCAAGTTTATTTTATGCAAATGAGCAAATTCTATATATTTTCAGCTGTCCAATTAGATCGAAACTTGGTTCAGTGCTCTAGCATATTAAAAACAGTTGATTTGTGTTACAATACAATCTGAGATGGTTGACTGGCAACCATGGATCATATCGTAATTTCAAATCATATTGTATTGTAAGATAGTTATGACTGAGTCAAACACAACCCCATAAAGCATGTCTGCTCTCGCAATCTGACATAACTATCCCACAATGCACTATAATTTGGAATTGTGATATATGTTTTACATTGATATTAGAGACTCGCATATGTCAGATCGTCTGGCAGTCCAAGGAATTTGTTCAGTGTAGAACTGGTACATTCAAAAAGAAGCATATAAATGCTGACATTTCTCTTGTCATATATTAAGGTAGAAGCCTATTCATAGTTTTACAGAAAATTGGTCATAAAACCCATGACAATATTCATTGGTTTATTATGTAAAATCATGAAGCTATTGCCTCATGACACAATAAAAGCATTTTTTGTGTGTGTTGCAGTGTTGTTTTTTGAGAAACTTGGAAACTTTTCCAAATATTTTTCAAAAATCGCTACTTTTAGAACAATTCCATAGAACACAATGTTAATTGTATTTTCAACACTTTTTAAACCAGATTTTCAAAATCAGAACAACAATAAGTACTCTGAGATTACCAATATATGTAATCAGCGTTCAATTTAAAATATGGCATAATATATCTCTGCCATATGAACCTATGGTAAAAGTGTATAATAATACTGCCAAAATGGAAACAATCAACTAAAATAAGAGTATCATTTTTCTCTGAAATTAGGCTGGTCACCCTATATTTTTTTTAAGTCAATATCCTTATATTGCCCTGGAGTACAATATATTGTCAATGACTTGTTTATATTACTTCCTTCCATTGTGAATGCCTTGCACTTGTATACCTCTGTATGAATGTCATTTATCACATCTTCATACTATGATCATAACAATATCTGTCATATACATAAGCATATTTACTACTATTAGTTTAATTTTAATAATCTGATGTTCATAAATTTGTTACGCAATTGTTATTACGATAATGTTCCAGGTGTACTGTATTATGCGGCTTTCTTTTTGTATAGAAGGCAATCTGATCATATGGACTCATTGTGCATTGAACCTCACTGATTTTAGTAAATATCACCTACACATGTACACTAGTGTTCTTTCACAGA